CGCGAAAATGAAGTATTCCTCAGTTTTCCTAACGACACTTTCATCTTCCTTGAATTCAGCAACAGACTATCCCAACTTATAAGAAATATTCAAAAGTCAATATTAAATTACATTGGCTTTTAAGTAATAGGAAGGAATAAACTTATTCACTACTTTCATTGCCCCAAGTGTGAGCAGAAAATGGTTTTTTTCCAACTTTAGGGCTTTTGGAGGAAATGTATTTGACGATAACCCATTAAAGAACTCAAGTCCCATCCGTATTCCTTAGCTCCCCATATTTAGGTACGGGGTCACCAATGAGTAGTAACTTCAACCACTGATCTAGTGGAAGTGAGTGCAATATGGTTGAGAAGGTAGAGCCAAAACATTCCCAGCAAATGGTGACCAAAATCAAGCGTTACTTCTAATATCATTTAAGCACAAATTGTTTCATCTCCTTAGTGAAGAGTCGAATTCTACTTGCATGGACATTAAAAGATATAACTAGCAAGTTCGCTCTCAATTTGAGCCAAAAGCAGCACAAGACCATTTTACTATCAAAAANTAAAGGACTCAAGTCCCATCCGTATTCTTTAGCTCCCCATATTTAGGTACGGGGTCACCAATGAGTAGTAACTTCAACCACTGATCTAGTGGAAGTGAGTGCAATATGGTTGAGAAGGTAGAGCCAAAACATTCCCAGCAAATGGTGACCAAAATCAAGCGTTNCAAAGTTCCGTGGTGCAGAGAACTGCCGAGTCCCTGTGGAATCTATTCTCTGGAAAAGAGATGGGATTGAGGGACTTTGCACAATTTGTCATTCATATCAAGGAGATTTAATGAAACGCCTTACAAAGACCTATTTCATATTTCAAAAATATGTTCACTTATCAGCACAATCAAATATCAAAAGATGGCGATGAGTCCCACGTGAAGTTCATTTTAAAAAGGTGCCATGAAGGTCAACTACGGTCAAGCAAAATTCAAGACAAGTTGGAGGCTTATTTTTGCTCAAAACAATGCATTTGACCTTCAAATATGATAAATTTATCGGAGAGATTTACGCGAAAATGAAGTATTCCTCAGTTTACCCAACGACACTTTCATCTTCCTTGAATTCAGCAACAGACTATCCCAACTTACAAGAAATATTCAAAAGTCAATATTAAATTACATTGGCTTTTAAGTAATAGGAAGGAATAAACTTATTCACTACTTTCATTGCCCCAAGTGTGAGCAGAAAATGGTTTTTTTCCAACTTTAGGGCTTTTGGAGGAAATGTATTTGACGATAACCCATTAAAGAACTCAAGTCCCATCCGTATTCCTTAGCTCCCCATATTTAGGTACGGGGTCACCAATGAGTAGTAACTTCAACCACTGATCTAGTGGAAGTGAGTGCAATATGGTTGAGAAGGTAGAGCCAAAACATTCCCAGCAAATGGTGACCAAAATCAAGCGTTACTTCTAATATCATTTAAGCACAAATTGTTTCATCTCCTTAGTGAAGAGTCGAATTCTACTTGCATGGACATTAAAAGATATAACTAGCAAGTTCGCTCTCAATTTGAGCCAAAAGCAGCACAAGACCATTTTACTATCAAAAAGAATTTTTATCACTATGAAAGGAACTAGGAAACATGGGGAATTGGAAACGCGGTTTGCTGGCAGAATACACTTAGCACAAAACCCACTGATAAGCAAAACCACACTTCCTCTCAATCTGTAGTAAGCATTTGTAGCAAGCATTGCATCAGCTCACAACCAACCCTTCACTCCAACTACACTCACCCTCCCCNAATGTTCGCAACTGAGCATTACTTTTTGCAACGAATCCATTGCAAATGTGCGTTATATCACACTTCCACTGCAGAGGTATTCACGTCAGTCAGAGGCATAAATTCATGGGCCTTAATTCAGATGTCAATAGATTTGAGATTTCGACAAATACAATCGCCACCGCCAACTCAGCAATTGCTCCCCCTTGCCCTAATTCAAATGACTTCACATAACGAAATTGGAAGTGCAAAGCGACAAATTGAGTCAATTTCATGGCATTAAGTCAACTTACTTAGCAACCGCTAACGAGTGCGAATTAAGTTAATTCTATAATTCAATTTGCTAAATAGACGAAATACTAGGGTTCACACAGCACAAGACCATTTAAATATCAAAAAGCATTCTTTATCACTAAGAAAGGAATTAGGAAAATTGGGGAATTGGAAACGCGGTTTGCTGGCAGAATACACTTAGCACGAAACCCACTGATAAGCAAAACCACACTTCCTCTCAATCTGTAGTAAGCATTTGTAGCAAGCATTGCATCAGCTCACAACCAACCCTTCACTCCAACTACACTCACCCTCCCCTCCCCTCCCCTCCCCTCAATACCCCACCCCCACCCC